TGATTGCTGTTCTGCGTGTTGAATTTGAGGACCTTGGTTTTCCCTTTGTGTATGCTGAGGCCTACTGATGCAGAGACTGCTGCTACACTGGCTGTCTTCATCTGCATCTGTTCGTGTGTACGTGATAGGAGGGCTAGGTCGTCTGCGAAGTCCAAATCGTCTAATTGATTCTGAGTTGTCCATTGTATTCCGTGTTTTCCTTCAGATGTCGAGGTCTTCATAATCCAGTCGACCACCAGAAGAAAGAGGAAGGGAGAGAGTAAACAGCCTTGTCTGACTCCAGTCCTTACTTGGAATGCATCTGTCAGCTGTCCTCCATGCACTACTTTGCACTGTAGTCCGTCGTATGAGTTCCGGATAATGTTGACAATCTTCTCAGGAACTCCGTAGTGTCGAAGAAGTTTCCATAATGTCCTCCTATCTACACTGTCGAATGCCTTTTCATAATCAATGAAGTTGATGTATAGTGATGAGTTCCACTCAACTGATTGTTCGACGATGATCCGTAGTGTTGCAATTTGGTCTGTGCACGACCGATCCTTACGGAATCCAGCTTGTTGATCTCGAAGTTGGGCGTCTACTGCATCCTTCATACGGTTCAGCAACACTCTGTTGAAGACTTTCCCTGGTATTGACAGTAGTGTAATGCCTCTGTAGTTTTCACATTTGCTCAGATCTCCTTTCTTTGGAATCTTGACGAGGTGTCCTTCTTTCCAGTCCATCGGCACTTGTTCCTCCTCCCAAATCTTTTTGAATAGAAGGTACAGCATGCTTGTGGTTGCTTCGATGTCTGATTTCAGTGCTTCAGCTGGTATGTTGTCGGGTCCTGCTGCTTTCCCGTTCTTGATTTGTCTGACGGCCATTCTAATTTCTTCCGTCGTTGGTGGGTTGACATCTATAGGAAGATCTATGTGTGCTGCTTCGATGTCCGGTGGATTCATTGGAGCCGGCCTATTCAGGAGTTCCTCGAAGTATTCCACCCATCTGTTACGCTGATGTTGAATTTCGGTGATTGGCTTGCCTTCTTTGTCTTTGACCGGCCTCTCTGGTTTACTGTATTTCCCTGCTAGTTTCTTCGTTGTATCGTAAAGCTGTTTCATATTTCCTTCTCTAGCAGCTTTTTCTGCCGTCGTTGCTAGTTCTTCCACGTATTTCTTCTTGTCGGCTCTAATGCTCCTCTTCACTTGTTTGTTTGCTTCTATGTATTCAGCTTGTGCTTGGACTTTCTCTGCTCGTGTTCGGCTGTTGTTAATTGCTGCCTTCTTGTTCTTCCTTTCTTTGATCTTGTCCAGTGTTTCTATAGAGATCCATTCCTTATGATGGTGTTTCTTTAGGCCCAGAACCTCTTGACACGTTGAAGTTAATGCTTCCTTGATGCCTTTCCAGTTGTCCTCCATACTAGTTTCTTCTTCTTTCAGTAGATCTTGTAAGGCTTGGAACCTGTTGTTGAGAGCTATCTTGAATTCATTGAGTTTGTCAGTATCTCGAAGGAAGGCTGTATTGAACCTTTGTAGTGCTGTTTGTCCACTTGTCCAGTTCTTTTTAGCTTCAGTTTTAAATTGGCTACAGAGTTTAAATGGTTTGAATAATTTTTTCTGGTAAGCGTTTTTTTTAGCGAGTTAGTTTTCTACGGGATGGGGACGCTAACCCCATGCCCAACCCTCCTCCTTTACCCGGGCTTGGGACCGGCAGTAACCCTCTTAGAGCTACAGGCGGAGTTAAGTTTATCTCAGTAGATTAGGGAAAATGCTTTGGGGTTTAAAGCAATAGGTATTTGGTTTGAGCTTTATGGTTAACATCTGTCTAATAAGTAGGATGTAAAACAAAACTTTGATCCTGTATTTCACTCCCACTTTCGTTTGATGTAAACTTCTTTTGTATATAGATAAAAAAATTTGAAGAAAGTCAAGAACTTACTTAAAAGATTACATTTTAATCTCTGGATATAATCCCCAAAAGAAATCTAAACGACTGAATTAACACAACTCTGTATATACTTGTTAAGTAATAATAAATCCTACAGTAAATATTGAATTAGATCTGATTAATCGCCGTTGATTCTAATCCAAATCATAAATATCGTAATTATCTTCGGCAAATCGTATCTCATCCAGGAACTCCATTATGTATAGAGTAGGTGTAGGTAATCTAGAAAAAATCTTGGACATGGATTTCGTACTAGTTGGCAAAATCGAACACGTACCTACACTTAAGAGTACTGATGCTCATTGGGGGATTCAAAATCGGATCATCCAATTGCATGTTCTGACACTAACCTCAATCTTTCTATTTAAGCTATACTCCTTTAGCAAAAAAGAAACGAAGGATCCGACTGAACAAATAAATCGTCATGTCAGTTATCTAGATCAACTTTACACGACGACACAGACTATTACATTTATAAGCAATCATCCACTTATATCTGTATACTGATTCCTTTTTATAAGTATGATTTATTTAATGTTAAATGTATTCAAATTGTTCCATAAGATGTTGTATATAAGATACTTATCAATAATGTACTGAGGACTGTATTATTAAAAATAATATATAAGCAAAAGACTATTGTAAGTCATGTACATGGAATATGTGTCCCTATGAAAAATATATATATACGTAATGATACTGCCAATTAGAGAACAGGGGCTTATCGACCAGACCAATGACACACAAAACCCATAGGAGCAGTCTAGAGTCCTTATCGGTCCTACTTTCTGCCTAATACTGCCTGTTAAGTCCAGGACACCGATCTCAGCCTCCGCGATATGAATCATGTATTTCAGAACACACTGGGTTTATATAGAAACCATACAGACCACATCGTACCATAAAATAGAAAACAAAATTTATACAAGATTTAGCCAAATGTGTCTGTGAATGTGGTAGACTGTAATTAATAGACTGAGTGTAACTCAAGAAAGGTAAATCGTATGATAATCGTTCATAAGTCAAAATAAAGCTTATGATAAAAGGGACACGAATATGAATAGTTTAATTACTTAACAACTATACAATAAAAGTATACGCATTATTATTATTCCAGAAATAGATCCCTAAAGTTACCATTCATAATTCTCATCGGGATATAACAAATATTTCACTTTTGAATGATCTATTCCATAGAGCTAAGATATGAAATAAAAAATGAAAATATATCCATATTTCAATTCACAATTGACTGACCACTGGATGGTGATCAATGTCATGTGTGTCAAGTCCGCCAGGGAGCACCAGTTCCCTCAAGATTACAGGTACACCTTGTTGACGAGTGCCAAGTAGCATGAGACCCGGGTCCAGGGTTTCCAATCGACTACCTCCAACTATCATCTGATCTCAATATCCATCATTCAATTACTTAACCATTAAACAATAAACAAGGAATTGCATATATATATATTCCATCCTTTAATTGATTGATTCACATTTTAATTGGAACATAGAAACAAAACTTCGTTTATGGTCTATTTTACATGAATCACTAACTGTAAAACTTAATCAATAGATGATTTATTTAGAAACTAAGATGAGTAAAAACTGATTATTTCATAATGCACAAAATAAATTTTAAATTAAACATCGCATTTCAATACAGATTAAATGATGTAACATGGAAAATTGATGAATCCAAAGTCTAAACGGGGATGGGAGTTGTGCAAATTATAGTAATTTCAGCAGGTGAATTCATCAGTTAATTTAAGCTAGATTAACGTCGAAAGACCTGGAAGCACTAGACGGTTGTTTTATTCTAGTACAAGACTTCTGAACAGTGCCCACCTACAATTCCGCATGTGGGACTCGAACTCATGGCCTTCGGTTTCGTGCGCTAACTGTTAACCTCTAAACCACTTAGCCGACATCCACTGGTGTTAATGTCTAACTTCAACTGATCCATGATCTTGTGCAACTCTTTATTTATTGTCTGAAGTGGATAGCTCTCTCTACCCAACACAGATTGGACTCCATTGGTCACGGCTTCTCACTAGAACTTCAGGAAATCCATCTTGAATCCATTGCCTAGTGAGCACATGATGATGATTATGATTAGAATGAGGGTTTGTGGAGATTGTAGTTATTTTCAATAGCTGAATTTATTTCTAACTGAATAAAGCGCTTCGCTGATAATCAAGTGTGATGTATATAAACAGAGAACCTTTCAACTAAACCATATAGTTTAGATAATATGAGATCTATCAAAATTATCTTTCATAAACTACAAACTTACATTTGATTTTTTTTAGAGAAAATGTTATCATGTTTAATAAGTAGACAATGATTTGTATCTACTATTAATATTTATCCAAAATATTAAATCGTTCACTCAAATGACTAGTCGGATCCATCTCTATCTATTAAGCTTTTCTAAGTAATAATATTCATAACACCATGACGTTTGTAATGTTAGGTACTAGATCTGAGTCTCTATGGAGACATTAACATTAAAATTGATAAGTCTGGCAAATTGAACGCTATATTCGTTTCCTAAGCTATTCTGTAGACCCCCCCCCCAAGCTAGAACTATACAGCGACCTGAACACGAGAGAGAAGAAGAAAAGTATGCGAGAAGTACTTACTCCAAAGGTTCATTTCAATACAGAAAACATAGGATTTTTATAATATTTTAAATGTCCTTAGGTTGCTTGAAGATTCTGGAATGCTACTAAACATAGTAGTCGTATAACAACCAGCCAATCAGAACCACTACATGTGCCGTTTCACTTCCTTGATATCTCTGGCTAAAACTACAAGTGAACGCTGATTCGGTGAAAAGCTTCTTAGTGTTTCCTGATCCTTGCTTGTCTTTTGCAAGAAATTTTCTGGATCACCCCAACATATCCAGTTAACCTTAGTCCTAGATTCAACTAATATTCATTATTCAATGATGTATAACCAGATATCTAATAAGTAGTATGTTAATTCATTTCACAAATGAAATCGGACAGTTGACATTGTTAAATTTTTCCATGTTTTTTTTTTTCTTTCTTTCTTCCATTTATTTCAAGGCATATCGTTTAGAACCATTATTATTGAAACATTATGCTAATATTAGCCCTGTTGTTATACCGAAAGCATCAATTAGTCATTTAGAAAAATGTTTATCAATTAAAGATATTTCACTTATTAATAATAATAATAACAACAACAATAAATCAAATCAATCAGATAGTCAAACACCAACATTAAAAGGTTCTAATACATCATTAACAGCAATTGATGATATTGAATCAACACATTCAATGCATACATTGGATTTATCTGATTCAGATAGTGATTCATCTGATCTATCATCAAATGATGCTAGTGGTAGTCATGGTTCTGATCATAAAGAACAAAAAAGAAAAGTATGTACATTATGTTTTTGGAGAAGATGAAAACTTTTTTTTGTTTCATGTAATGTTGAAATACGTTTTATGATTGTTTATGTATATATATAGTCTGATCTATGAATACGCGAGCTGGGATCATGAAGACTTCATTTTTACAAAGTTTTCGATATATGAACCATATGAACTACTTCTTATGTATGGCAGTACATTGTTCAAGATATCCTTAAAGGTGTTTATAAATCATGGTATTTAACTACCTTACCGTTTTACATCTTGTTTTCTCTCCTTGATTAATTGACATCTAGAGAATGGACCAAAACAGACCAAATCGCAACACTACGGATCATTTTGGAACAATCAATTGAATGGAATTCATTACTCTACATCAACTTCATTGACTACAAGAAAGTATTTCACAACATGGGCAGGACAACACTATGAAAGCTTCTTCGACACTACGGCGTACCTGAGAAGATAACCAATATCATACGGAATCCCTATGATGGATTAAACTGCAAAATTGTGCATGGAGGACAGTTGACAAAGTCGTTCGAAGTAAAGACCAGTGTGAGGCAAGGTTGCTTACTCTCACCCTTTGTCTTTCTCCTAGTGATCGACTGGATCATAAAGACGTCAACATCTGAGGGGAAGCATGGGATACAGTGGATGGCTAGAATACAGCTGGGCGATCTAGACTTTACAGATGATTTGGCTCTTCTATCACACACGCAACAACAAAAGCAGAAAAAGACGACCAGTGTAGCAGCAGTCTCATCAGCAGTAGGTCTCAACATACACAAAGGGAAAAGCAAGATTCTCCGATACAGCACAACATGCACCAATCCAATCATCATTGACGGAAAAGATTTGCAAGATGTAAAAGCCGTTACATATCTGGTCAGAATCATTGATGAACACAGTGGGTCTGATGCAGATGTAAAGGCACGGATCGGAAAAGCAAGAGCAGCATATTTACAGTTGAAGAACATCTAGAATTCCAAACAAGTGTCTGTCAACCAACACCAAAGTCAGAATTTTCAATACAAGTGTCAAGACAGTTCTTTGTTTGGAGTGGAAAATTGGAGAACTACGAAAGTCATCATCCAGAAGATACAAGTGTTTATTAACAGCTGTCTACGTAAAATGCTTCGGATGTGTTGGTCAGACAATATCAACAACAACCTACTGTGGGAGAGAACAAACCAGAAGCCAGCTGAGGAAGAAACCTAGAAGAAGCTCTGGAAGCGGATGGGACACACATTGAGGAAACCACCCAACCACGTCACAAGGCAAGCCCACACTTGAAGTCCTTAAGGCTATAGGAAGAGAAGAAGGCCAAAGAACACATTACGCTGAGAAATGGATACAGACAGACATGAGAAGAATGAACAACAATTGTATAAAACTCGAAAGGAAGGCGGAGGACAGAGTGGGTTGGAGAACACTGGTTGACGGCCTATGCTCCATTGTGGGTAACAGGAGTAAGTATATTCAGGATTCTGATACTCAGTTTTCTAAATAAACTACGTTGTTAATAGCGGATAACAGTGGAATCGAGGAAGCGCATTTTATCTTTTGGACTGAAACTCGCATTGATAAGAGTAGCTATCTTACAAGTCAAATAGACAGAACCTGACCAAATCCAGAGAACTAAACGAACATGAAATCGGTCATTCATCAATGATCAAATTCTAAACTGTACTTGATTATCGAACAAAATTCATTGAAAGATTTATATACTATTGGTTCAATGATTAATTCGATTGAATTTCAACCATATTAAGTTACCGATTCAAATCTCACTACACGTACTCTAATTTAGATCACCTAGTGTAATATTATACCTATCATACATAATGCATTAAGACAAAATAAACCATATAAACTGGATCTTAATGTTATGGATCACACTTGATTCGTGTGTTAATATCAGAATATTATCTTTTCGAATGGTTAAATGAACAGTTGTTGATTTGTACTCTTTAAATTTAGACTTTGTATGATATAATAGTTCTTTTTCATTATACATGTGATTTACTTTAGTAATTAACTACCTCTCAATGTGAATTTAATAATTCCATTACTAAAATAATAATAATAATTTTATTATTATTATTTAGTGGCCCGGGATCTGACTCCAAGGAGATCGTAATGATGATTTTTGTTGAAATATATATGTCGCCTATCCTCGTATATAATCATCGACTTAAATCGCGTTAGAAAAAAAAAAAAAAAAAAAAAAAAAAAAAAAAAAAAAAAAAAAAAAAAAAAAAAAAAAAAAAAAATCAGTGGTTGAGATCATGAGTCAGTTGATGCTAGACCACCATGGAATGCCTCGAAGCACTGGACGGCTGTTTCGTCCTATTGTGGGACTCCTTAGCAGTGCGCATCCACGACCTCGCCCCGTGCGAGATTCAAACCCAGAACCTACTGGTTTCGCGCGCGAGCACTTAACCACTATACCACTGAGCCGGCATCCAACCGTGTTATTGTCTAACTTCAACTAATTCACGAAATTGAGCGACACATCCACCATTGTCGTTAGTGTGTTACTATCTCACAACTGACCTGGTTGAACTCCACTGGTCACTACTTCTCACTAGAACTCCAGGATATACCTCTTGAAGCCAGTCACTAGTGAGCATATGTTGATTACTATCAGATGGGTTTTGTGGCTAGTATAGTATTTTAAAGGTTAAGATCATGGGTCAATTGTATATGAAGGGAATGGAAATAGAACGAAAGCGGGTAAGCCAACTCTCATTTAGTCAAGCGTTAATCAATATTTATAGTTACACAAAAATAAGTTACAGACATGTGATGAATAGGATAAGAAGGGCACACACAGATGTGCGCTCATATAAAAAAAAGTCAAGATTGATAAGTGAATAATTAACAAGGTCAAAATGTAACTCAACTAGAGTGAATAGATTGGTCTGTCCGAATAGGGTGTGTATGGGCTTAACATAATAACCGACACTACAATTATTTAATCATATTCCCGTATTTATCTTCCATTTGATGCTTAAATGAATGTTCTATTTGATTCATAATATAACTGTTATTGTATTTATTTTGTTTTATTCTATTCATTTTAAGTTTTTCAAACGTTTAAGTGTTGTGGATGAAAATTCCGTTTATAAACAACATCAATCATTAGCAAGTAAGAAAAATGTTCAACAATTGAGTTGTTATTCTGTTTTATCTTCTTATGATTATAGCATGTTCTTGTTTTCCAAATCCAGAAATTACTAGAGAGTTGTCTCACTTTATTATTGAGATCTTGAGATAAAGGCATCCATAGCTTTGTCAAGGAGTTAACATAGTACCTTCAAGTTTTGTAAAGATCCATTTTTGACTTGAATTAATTCTTAAAATGGTTCGATGTTGATAATTCACTCCAGGTGTAGCTGAACTACACTAGTTAGACAATCATAGAAAACTTGGAAACACTGGACGGCCGTTTCGTCCTAGTATGGGACTCCTCATAACGAAACGGCCATCCAGTGTTTCCAGGTTTTCCATGATGGTCTAGCTTCAATCGACTCATGATTTCAAACAAATTTTATCATCAACTTAATCATTATTCTTTGAAGGTGATTTGTCAGAATTTAAATAATGGCTCTTGAACTATGAAATTTGTAATGTAACAATTAAGGAGATTACATATCAATGACAGTTGATGATTATCTCATTGGATTACAAATTGATTAACGTTCTTTTATATACATTATACAATTAGAACTTAATTAGTTAATTGTATTGTTTAAAGTAGTTAAATTCATCAGTTAATTGAAGTTAGATCACCACAGAAAACGTGGAAACACTGGATCGTCATTTCGTTCTAGTATTATACTCCTCAGCAGTGCGTATCCACTATCCCCTCCTTACAAGATTCGAACCTAGAACCTCTTTTCATTGTTCAATCTTAAAATTCTAACTTTCATTACATACTGAATTATGTAGTTGTTTACTCAAGGACATAATAATTGTCGATTCTTTTCTGTTCCTTATTAATCAATTTCTAGTTGATATCTATTTTTGGGACGGGGGGAGGCATTATTCGTAAATCAATTAATTGTAATTATAATTATCGATATAGAAGAGATTTGTAGTTGTTTATAGACAATCAACAACAAAAAAACACAACACAACTATTATAATTGTCATGTGTTCTAATGATCACATCATCAATCAATATAGTTAGAAATTAAACTAGCTGGAAACTATAGTACTTTTACTTTTTAAAAGTTTACATATACTTTAATTTTCATTAATTTATAAATAAGATTAAGTTAGTAGTGGATTTAGTTGAAATTAGACATTAATACCGTTGGATGCCGGCCGGCTCAGTGGTCTCGCGGTTAAGCTCTTGCGTGCAAGATTGATAGGTTTTGGGTTCGAATCTCACGAGGTAGGATTAGTCGATACGCGGTTTAGTACTTCCAGGTTTTTCATATTAGTCTAGCTTTTATTAACTCATGAATTCAACTATTAAGTTAGTAGTGTTAATAATTAAGTTTTAATATTGAATGGATAGTGATTGTTTTTGTGAAAATAAATAGTCGATCGAAAAAAAATAATGGATCAGTTTCAAAAGTGTAGAACTGTGTTAGCAGTGGAATTCAGGATACATGTCTCATCCTATTTGGGACTTATCAACTAGATGTACATGCATCTCAGAGTTGGTGTTTGCTCTGGGATTTGAACGCACTGACGTTCGCTTCAAACGTCATCACATTATCTACTTAGTTATTGAGTCCTTATAGCCACCTGCTTGTGCAATGTGGTGAATTAGCTATGTGATGGCGTTTGAAGCGAACGGTACCGGGTTCGAGTCCCGTAATCAACACCAACTCTGAGATGCACATACACCCAGTTGATGAGTCACAAAAATAGGATTAAACATGCATCAAACTGTATTCCACTGCTAGCCATTATTCATCTTTGCTTAAAATTGCTTTTATTCCTTTCTTTTTTTTTATAAATTACGTAATAAGTTAAATTCTACAATATTCTTTTTTTTTCTTTTATTTAGTGAAAATATTCAGTAATTATATAACTAGACGATCATCTAATGTAACTAATTTAAATCCAATATTATGTCAAATGCGTTCAATGCCAACAACAAATGAAAAACAACTTCGACGTCGTGTTGATTATGAATGGCAAAAATCATTTTCACCACTTGCTATATTAGGTGCACATAATAGTTATTGGAGTAGTCATGAATTAGCATTTTTTATGCTTTATCAAATATTTGGACCACCACATACTTTACGTTAAACAATAAATAGATAGATAGATAGATAGATCTATATCTATATAACATGTTGAAGTATACATGGGTGAAGTATTTTCCAGTTTTATGTCTTACATAATGCATTTGTATTTGTTGCCCAAACACTTGGAAACATTCCATTCCATATTTCTTTTTTTTGGATACACTGAATTATTTTTTATTTCAACAACAACAACAAAGAAACATTTTCATCTTCAAAGCAAAAAAGAAAGGAAAAAAAAGAAAAAAAACATTCTCACAGATTATAGAATAAACTTTTTTTATTTTCGGAATTTTTCTCTCTTTTTTTGTTTATTATTTTATCTGATTATTGTAAATTAGATCAATAGATTAATCCACATTCGTTGAATTCACTAGTACACATGGTAACAATTTTCTTTTTTTTCATAAAAAGCAAAACAACAAAAGAAAAGAATAAAAGAAAACTCCATTACTCTTAATCCATATTCTTTTATTTTATAATTGATCAATTATTTTTGGTAACTTAGATATATACTACTTAATATTGAGTTGGGTTTTTTTTTCTTTCATGTTTATCTTTTATATTATTACATAATAATGAAATCAATTTGATTGTATTTGTGTGTGTGTGTGTGGATGGGTGTGTTTATGCGTTTTCAGCTTTCTTTTATTTTTGTTTTTGTTTTGTCGAAAAAAACAAAACAAGTAAGTGAAAATGTTTTGTTCTCGTTATATGTTGATCCATCTGTTTTGAAGAATAATGAATGAGGATTTGTAAAGAGATTGTAGTCATTTTTAATAGTTGATTTCATGAGTCGATTTAAGCTAGATTGACATTCAAAAACCTGGAAGTACTAGACGGTTGTTTTATTCTAGTATGAGACTCCTGAACAGTGCACATCTATGATTTAGCATAGGGGACTCAAACTCAGGACCTTCGGTCTCGTGCACGAACGCTTAACCTCTAGACCTTTAAGTTACCACCTAACGGTGTTAATGTGTAACTTCAATCAATCTATAATCTTGTGCAACCCTTCTCACTAGAATTCCATGAAATCCATCTTGAACCCAGTGCCTAGTGAGCACATGATGATGATTATGGTTAGAATGAGGGTTTGTGGAGATTGTAGTAATTTTTACTATTTGAATGGATGAGTTGATTTACGCTAGACCACGATTAAATAGCTGGAAACACTGAACGGCCGTTCCGTTATAGCATAAGACTCGTGTGCAGTGTTCATCCACAATCCCGCATACGTTACACGAGTTCACTGCCAATTACACAATCTATCATGACAGTGTTATTATTATAATAATTATTACTGTGTGGAATGGATGACACTAATCAATTGCTTAACTGTGAAATCAGTGTTTGTTACATAACAAATTACAACTTACCACTTACAGTTGTAAGTGGTTTATATACCTTTCACGAATATGTGTGTTTGTTTATCTTATAGTGTATTCCCATTCAAGAAATATTTTAATTGACACGTGGTCTTTCATAGATTATCGACTGCACAACGCAGTTACCTAATGAAAATTGAAATACTTTACCTTGAGTAAACAGTATAATGAAAATACAGTAATCATCAGTCTACTAAAACTTAATCATCTATGAAGTAACCAGCTTTCAGCTGATATTTGTTGCATAGCCTAGTGACTGCGTAGTAGAACTTATGATACGCTACGCATTTATTATTGAGAAGAAGCTTCAACAGTTTTTATTCTATTGTCCACCTTTTGTTGTTGTGGTAATATCTATTCATTATACTCGCTTTGTTTCTGGTTCATAATGATATGTTTCGCTTCTATCCCCTTGTTAGTCAAATTTGTGATCAAGGTTTGTCTTTACATTCGATCAAATGTCCTTTTTCACCTCGAATAATAACTCACTCTTTTACCCATATATGTAGTGCCGCCAGATGCCTAATTTTATCCCAAAAACAGTGGATTACACCTTGGGAATCAATCACATAGTTTAAAATTATTCTTTATAAACTAGGTTTATGAAGAGTATATAAGTGAAATGTATTAAAAACTTGATCATAATGTCACTAGACTCTGCTAAAGCTAATCCTTCATTACATATGATCATTGTAACCCATCCATGAAATACCTTTAGCATAGTTGATGAGCTGTTTTTTTCAACTATGGTTGCTCTTAATTTTTCAATGTCACCACTAGTGTTTTAGCAAAGGAAAGTGAGACTACATCTATCTAACTAAAAAAAATAACTTTAGTTACATCTTTATTATTTATGGTTCCTTAGGTAGTGACCTACTTTTATCAAGTGAACGCGATTGGTTTAATGGAAACAATTATTATTATTATAACCAATTGTACCAGTGATTGTTTTACTGTGCTTGTTTGTTTAACAGCACTAAAAACATCCATTATTCTTCCATTCTTCCTTCCGTTGGATGTGACCTTGCACGAACTTACGTTTCCTCAGTAAATCCACTTGTACTCCTTTAGTACGATCTCGGTATTCTTTCGATACCACGAGATCACCAAGAAATATACTTCGCTATAACCTTCAATCGCCTTCTGATATTTCGTACACAACCTTCCTGTAGTTGTGATCATAGTCAACCGCGACTCGACGCCACACTACACTTATATCACATAGCTTCTAGTTAGTTCAGTGGTTTCGTTATCAATTTATTAAACACATTCTTGTAGACTTTACTATGAGAATTACATTCATTATGCAATGAACAAGAACATAAATGAAGACAGCTAATTGTATTTCCTTACAAAATTACAGAATATTTAAGGCAAATGTAACCGGAAACAACATTTCCTCGAGCAAACACGGTAAAAGTACATTAATACAAAGTTTTTTCAACTTTGCGACCACTTTGTACCTTTATTGATCAATGATTGAATGAGTCACCTTTTTTCAATTTCAGTCACCATTTACTGAGAATGCTAGATGTAAATCATCATAGGACCATTTAACAGTAATCATGTTAGTCTTGCATAAACCGGACAACAAGACAAATTAACTATGTAGCAACACTTTAATTGCACCCTTGTGTAGACCTATCATTATGTAAACGAACTTAGAACACCAGGGTCATAAAAATCTGAATGGTAATTTCATAATCTTTAACACGTCTAT